CTTCATCACTAAAATCTTCGTCTAATAACCTTTTATCTAGAATTTAAAATAAAATGAATCTGTTAATCTTTAATACCATTATACTAATATTGATTTTTTTAACAAATTTTTTTGGCTGTTTAGCAAAAATATGTATATGTGTGAAATCAGCCTTTATTTTTGTCAAAAAAATTGCCAACGTTGTATTATACAACATATTTTTACAAAATTTATTACTTACTATTATTGAAGTTATCTCTAATAAATTCATTACAGTCGCCATCAGCAAATTCAAATTTTAATGCCTCGATACTTGGATTGATGACTAAAAGAGTGGCATATTGGATTCTACTAAAGTAAGTTGTCAACTCATTGAATAGTTGAAATATTTTTACCAATTCCTTTAAAAATTCCCATTCATAATCCTTAAGCATACAACGCTCTAATTTTGCATAATTATCTTTAACACTATCTTCTTTTTGTAAGGGTAAAGTTACATAAACCCATTCGATTGCTGAGCGAAGTTTTAAGAGCCTCTGCCAGGATTGATAAAAGGAATTCCAATGGGTTTTAACGTCCCCAATGGTGCGTAGAATAGATGTACTTTTATAGATTTCTATTTCATTATTCTCTTCAGTTTCAGCAGACAAACTTTCAGACATATATTCAGGGTCATGAATTCGGATAGGCCTTGTGCTAGTATTGTTATTGTTTGCCAGGTTAACTTGTGCTTTGTCAAGACGTTGACATTGTTTGAAAGATCGAAAAAATTTAATAATTTTTTTGATCCGTTTAGTATATGGATTTATAACCTTCAAATCCTGAGCAACAGAAAGTTGGAGTGTATGTGCGGTACACGGTAGGCATTCTATGCCATCCCAGAATCTAATTGTTTTTTTTCATATTTGTGCCATTATCAGTTATAACGCAAACAATTTTTTTAGTTAAACCAAACTCTTCAATTTTAGAATTTAAGAATTCTTTTATTTGTTCACCTGTGTGTGGGTACTCAATTTTTTCAATAGCCAGAAGTACGTCACGTACATCAAAACTGGATGTTAACCAGTGAAGAGTTATACCAATGTACCTAATATTAGCACAGGATGTCCACAAATCAGTAGTTATAGAGGCTGTTTCACAAGTATTAGCAAGTAATTCTTTAAGTTTAGTAATGCCTTTTTGATAAGCAATATCAATATTTTTTTTAATACACTTGTAATTTGGTGGTTTAAACGCAGGATCAATTCGTTGCATCATTTTACGATATCCTTTTCCGCATACAACGTTAAATGCTAGAGAATCAGTAACCAACCATTCGGCAGTAATTCTTTGTAACTTTGATTGTCTAGATGTGTTATGCGGTTTTACTTGTCTAATCATGTCACTTATACTTAATTGTTGTTTTTCATTTGAACTTAGTGATTCATCCGGTCCAAAGATCTTATGAACTGAGTGCAAGTGCATTTTCATATTTCCAGTTGATCCATCATGTTTATAGCTCGTATCACACTCAGTTTCTGCTCCTTTTCGAAATACAACTATCTTACAAACATCATTCTCGCCCACCTCTTTAAAATATTTCCAGACATAGCTTTTTTTATTAG